CTGGCCTCTAGGAGCTCCCAGTTTCATGAGGGAACCAGACACACGAAACACTGACGTTTAAAAAATGTGGTAGGTGCTGGAAGAGATATAAGTAAGAGAGGTGGAAACATAGAGGAGGAAATCCCTCGTTTTGCTTTGGATAAGTTTCATGGAGGATGTGACATCTGAGTTGGGTCTTGGAGGACGAATGTGTATTTTCTAGGGAGAGAGAGCATTCTAGTCAGAGGGAACAGCATGTGCAAAGTCCCTGACAAAGGAGCAGGCTCAGCCTGATGGAGGAGTGGCCCGGGACGTGTGGAGCCCAGCCCGCAACTGGAGAGTGCTTCCCAGCATATAGTTGAGCTTTACTGCATTCCTGGGAAGTGGGTGGAATTGAAACTATGACCTTATTTTGCCATCAAGATGCCTGAGGCTCTGGAGCTTCCTGCCTTGACCAAGGTCACACAGCTTGGGAGCAATGGAGCCAGGACTTGAACCCTAATTCTCTGACTTCAAGTCCAGGACTGTTTCAAGTATGCCCTGCTACTCCTGCACACCACAGCTTAAAGGGGTAGAAAACAAGTTTCTGGTGATTGTGGACCAGTATTTCCCACAGTATGGTGATTGCATCCGTTTCTTTCTCTAGGAAAGAGGGGTGCCCTCCTCGCTGTTTCAAAAATGAACAAATTGGGTCCTGGGAATGGCTTGTCGGTCACCTCTCAACCTAGAGCATTAGGGCAGCAGCAGAACCCCAGTGAGCTTGATCTTGTCCCAGAGTTCCCAGACACCACCTCCCAGGCCTTTCCTGTAGGCTGGGTGGGGAGAGGTGCCAGGTGGAACTAGGTCCATGGAACATGGGAGAGAAGCAGGAAGAAGCAGCAGTAAAATGAGGGCTGAGGCCGTTTCCCCTCAGCCGGATCTGGAGAGAGAATCAACAGTGTCATCAGAAATGAACTAACGCCTGTATTAGACTATGTCATGGTGTCTCCACCTAGGCCCCCAGATGCTCTGAGTTCCTTCTCCCCAGCCGGGGGAAGCCATGTCTCCTGAGAATACTCTGACCTGCTTAGCAGTGGAATCAGAATCGGAGGTGAAGTCACTTTGGGGGACTGAACCTTTATTCAGTTCCCAGTGCTGAGCTAGTGCCACTCTCTGCTGTCCCAGAGTAAAGGGGTCTGTCTCCTGGGAGGCCCTGGCTGGCCTGGGCCCCTCCAGTCCAGCCATTCAGTCAGCATGGGACTCAAGGAGGATTAGATAATGATACCGATGCAGGCCAGGATGAGTTTGATGAGAAGGGGAGACTCCATCTTCAGGCTCCAAGTGCAGCAGGTGCGTCCTCAAGGGGAGAGGCCTCTGGAGAAAGACCCCGGAGAAAGTCCTGGACAAGAGAAATTGTTCTCTTGTTGGCTGGTGGGTTTTAAAATTAATCTCTGCATGCTGTTTGCTCATCTTTTGCGTTTTGTGGATCTCACAAACAACACTCTGATGGCATCCGCAGATATCGAAAGTAAAGACTTTTCTTAATTGTTCACAATCCTGGTGACCTCTCCAAGATAGACTGTTTCGGCCCTCAAGGTTTCTCTCCCTTTCTAGGTCTCATTCGCATGTATGTTATTACCTCTTCTGGAGGTAATGATATTACACCTTCTCTTGCCTTCCAGACACCACACCTGCCTGGTCTTCCTCCTACCTGAGTGCCCACTCTTTCTTAGTCTCCTTTGCTGGCCCTTCCCCATCATTCCCAACCTTGACTCTTTTATTCTCCTTCATCTGGACTCAGTTCCTTTGTAAACTCATCAAGTCCTATGGCTTTAAATACCACCTATAAGCTGAAAACTACCCACCCTGTACTTCTGACCTGACACCTATCCTGAGTCCAAACTCCTTTCCCTGTCTCTCCTGGGATCTTTAATTGGCATCTCAAAGTTAACACGTCCCAGAACATAGCTTTTGATTTTATACCACCAGTTTTATACCACCAGCCAGCTCCTCCCCGAGTCACCCCCATCTTGGGGAATGACTCCACCACTCACTCCATGGAGAAAGCCCAACCCTAGGAATCATCCTGCCTCTCCTTCCCTTGCACCACTCCTTGCAGCCATCAGCTGGCCCTGTCAGCTGTCAATTCAAAATCCAGGTCCTTCTCACTACCTGCACGGGTGCCCTTCTATCCTGCACACTGCCCCCTCTCTTCTGACCCACTGTGATAGCCTCCTGGTTGTTCTCCCCTCCTCCTTGCTCATCCCTACAGCTGATCACCGCAGGTGTAAACACTTAAGTCAAATCATGTCACTCCTCTGCTCAGAACCCGCTGATCACTTCCCAACGTCCTTGGCATGAAAGCTGAAGTCTTCAGCACAACCCACCTGCCAGATCCACGGCATCTTTCCCCTGGTCACACCCATCCACATCTCTCCAGCCTTGCTGTCACTGTTCCTCAGCAGGCAAGCCTGTTCTTGCCTCCCTCAGGTCCCGATCCCTCTGTCTGGAGTTATCTTCCCCAGACCACCCTGCTTATGGACAGCCTCTGACACACTCTTCCCCTGACCATGTATTATTGCTCTCCATAGTAACTCTCTCTAAATGAAATTATATATTTGTTTTCTTATTCCTTTTATGTCTGTTCAACTAGAAAAGAAGCTCCGTGTGGTCAAGGACTTCTGTCTATCTTTTCCAGTATTATATTTCCAGTGCCTAGAACAGTGCCTGGTGTAGAGAGTGTATTTAGCAAATACTTGTGGAATGAATGAATTTGCTTTTTGGTCAAATTTTAAAATCACTCCTTACTAGGCCACCTTTACAATGTCATGAAATAATTTTTAATATAAAAGCAATTTTATCTTTAAGTCTACCCTCACACACACACACACACACACACACACACACACACACACACACTATTTTCAGTCTGTGGGCCCTTCCCATCTTAACTCCCCTCACAGATTGTCTATTTAGTCTTTGTTAGTCTCAAAATCAGGCTGCTATTCAAAGATGACTTCTCGTCTCACTAATTTCCTCTTTCTCGGAATCCTGTAGCCCTCAACTTCTGCTGTCATCTTGATGGCCCAGCTGCTCTCGGAGATGCTTCACAACCAATCATACAGGCAAGGGCTTCACTTACCCGTTGTTTAGAACAGAGTAGAGGGAAGGGGGCTTAGGTTAAGGCTCCAGAGGATTCTCCTGGACCCCATTCACTCATCTATCAGGTGTTTCTTGAGCCTCTGACCCATGTTAGGAACTGTGGTGGCCATTGAGGAGAAAAATGAATGTCATCCTCCTAGTTTTCAAGGAATTCATAGACTAGAGAGAGAGAGAAGCATGCAGACAAATAAAGAGTTACATGACATGTGCCATGCGGCTGGTAGAGAAGCCTGAAGGACCAGAGAGAAGGGGGACCAACTTTGTGGAAGGGAACAGTGCATGGAGGTGTGGAAACGGGAGAGGTGTGGCGCGTTTGGACATGAACGAGCTTTCCATGAGTCTGGAGCACAGGTTACATGGGAGGGAGGGAGGTGAGATCATGAGAGGCAGCAGACAAAGCAGGGAAGGTAGGCAGAAACCAGGTCATACAGGGAATTATATGTTATACTAAGAAATTTGGACTTCATTCCAAAGCTATTGAAGAACCGATGGAAAGCAGAAGAATTTTCTGATTGGAAGTTCTGAATTCATTCACATGTTCATTTTTCATTCATTCAACCAATATAATTTGAGCTCCTATTATATACTAAGCCTAGTGCTAGGCCCTGGGTGGTATTTAATATCATTTTCTTGCCATTATAGAGCCAATAATCCATGGGGCACAAAGGAAGATTGTTTGGCAGCTCCTGCCCTGAAGAGCTGTATGAATAGGAAATTTAATTATAGCAAAGAATGGAAGCAATTTCCCTAATAACAGGTATATGTTTAAGCAGATTTTGGTATCTCCATAAATGGAATATTATGTAGCCATTAAAAATGATCTTTGCAAACATAAGAGAAAGATTTATGACGTTCCTTAATAGTGTAGGAGAAAGATTATGGTGCTCACTGGAAAGAGCAGGGCAGAAAATCTATACTGGGCTTCCCTGGTGGCGCAGTGGTTGGGAGTCCGCCTGCCGATGC